CCAGCTGTAAATTTTTAGATCTTATCAAGTACCGTAACTTTGGTATAGGCCATGTATCCATGCGACATTTTTTTGATTTTTTAAAAGAAATTGAATTTCAAAATACAAAGACTTAAAATAAATATTTGAGAATACAGTTGACCTCCAATAAAAAACATGGCAACTTCAAAGTTGTAAATCACCTCGGCCACTACAACTTTGGTATTGATCATATCAACATTTGATGTCATTTGTAAATTCTTAAATTTAAATTTGAAAATTTGAGAATTTAAAACACATATTTGGTGCTCTAAATGACTTGAAACGAAAAAAAATTTACCTCCAAAGTTATTGATCACATTGAGAACTACAACTAGAATGTAGACTATGTTAACATCTGAGGTCTTTTAAAAATTGTAAAATTCAAATTACAAAATCTGAGAATTTAAACAATTTTGTTGGACTTTGAACAGTTCAAATAAAAACATTATCAAATACAAAGTTGTAAATCACCTTGACTTCGACAATTCATCTTAATCCAAGTTCATATGTGAAAAAGTTATGAAATGTTTTTGAGACAAACTATTCTTGATGCCGGTCTTTGTTAAATGATTTACAGAAATGTCACTCTTAGAGATCCGCCTCTGAAAATAGCTATTTATAGAGTCGATCACCTTAGAATGCGAAACATGATTTGGCAACCATAATCAAGACCTAGTATATATGTACAAACTGGAAAGTTGTAGATTTCATCAAGAGCTACAATTTTCATATATAAAGTATCTTCATCCGATACGACATAAGAAATATGGTTTTTCTAAGGCGACAAACCCTGGTACGTGATTAATATACTGCTGAAATTTTCTATTATTTTTTGACTAGCTTAACAACCTAAAATGAAAAAAATTAAAAAAAATGAATTTGTAAATCTCATCAGGACCTACCATTTTCATATACAAAGTATTTTTATCCGACATCCTACAAGGAAGATATGATTTTTCTAAGACGACAAGTTTGGTGCATGATTAATATGCCACAGAAATTTATATTTTTTTATATGCTAACAAATTCAAATGAAAAAAGCTAAAAAACTAGAATGTTATAGATACATTTTTTTTCTAAAATTGAGCCTTGCTGCTAACATGTGGGCAATGTTTTCTAAACGGTAAACGGTCTTTACATGGTCGCACTTCGTTTAACGTTTAGGCTGTTTACACGGTGTTTAAATGAAGTTAAACGGTCTAAATGGTTTTGTACTTTAAAAAAATACATATAATGTAAAAAATCAAGTATTCTAGCATTTATACATATTTATCCGAGTAAAAATTAATTATTTTGGTATGTATATATATTTATGCTTGTGAAAAGAACCAAATATAGATATTTATGCATGTAACATATCAAGTGTACACATTTATAAATATAATAAACTTAAGTATACAAATTTATCCATACAAAATTGAACTAGATTTACCTCGTGTTCGCCTAAACAGCCGTTTAAACAACTGTTTAGCCCGTTTAATGCTGTTTATCTCCGTTCTGTTATGCTGTTTAGACCGTTTTTCCCTTTTTTTTACCGTTTAAACGGTAAACCGTTTAATTTCTGTTTACCCTCTAAACAAAACAGTTTACCACCGTTTACTGGCCGTTTAGGCCGTTTAGGCGAACACTGCATGTGGGTCCCATCTGTCAGATCCATGCAACCGCTGCCACAAAATAAAAGGAGATGCCATGCATGTAGAGAGATGCAGTGCAAGCAGGAACCGGTAGTGCGATCGATCTGATGGAGTCGGAATCCATGGCGTATGTACCCCCGCCGCCGCCGCCGCCGCTGCCATCATCATGGCTGCGTTCGGCTGGTACCAAAAAGGTACTGTGCGCGGCTGGATTCTACTGTGCATGGCTAGTTAATTACTTTGCACTCCTTGAAGGAACGTCGTCGTTGTTGCAAGGGAAAGGCTGGATCGAGAGTGTAGGCAAGGCACGAGCTAGCCCACGAGGAGTGACCGGTAGCCCGGTACCAAGAACAAACCCCATATGGGCCCGGCCCGTTCGCGATATCCCACCCGCAAACTCACTAAACTACGCGGACTGACGTGGAGCTCTCAACAGATCTATCGATCCTAACGCAAAAGTCTAGCTAACTAAACTGCATGCATGCACGAAACGCATGACGACGGCGCGACAATCATCTTGTTGGCATTGGCATCAATTGGCATGGGTGGGTACGTAGTTGCCATCACTCATTGGAATTTTTGCACAACCGGCCGGCGCGATGATGATCCGGCAGGGGGTTCTCGTACGTGTCTCCATCGGGACTGTCGATCGGACTGATGAGCACCAAATTAAAAAAAGCTGATCATACTAATAACTCACATTGTGTTTTGCTCTCTAATCTACGAGCACACAGCGTACGTAAACCCCCAGCCCAGTCCGTTAACCGCGCTTTTCAACTTGAATTATAATAATGAAAAAGAAAAGAAAAGAAGAGCAACGATCTATTCGATATGATTGAAAGATGGGTTCAGCTGGCACACAAGCTTTATTTTCCCACCGATATACGGTTCTGTTTCGCAGGACTTCTTCTGTTGAGATGATTAGAAGCTATATATGCCTTCTATGCTTTCTTGCGTGAAGTCTTGCAAAACACTCACTCAAAAAAATGACTTTGTTATTGTTTTTCTTTAAATTGCCGATGATCAAGACTGGTGGATCATCAGTTCCAATATAATGGTTGCTCTAGCTAGCTAGGGCATATAGGCTGGAGAAGCTAGCTAGTAGCTTAATTAGAGGGTGTTTGGATACAGTGACTAAAATTTAGGAGGTGTCAAATGAGGATGTTGCATGGGGTGTTTGGATACTAATAAAAAAATTACATAATCCGTCAGTACTCCACGAGACGAATTTTTTAAGCCTAATTAATCCGTCATTAGCATATGTTTACTGTAGCACCACATTGTCAAATCATGGACTAATTAGGCTTAAAAGATTCGTCTCGTAAATTAGTCGTAAACTGTGCAATTAGTTTCATAATTAGTCTATATTTAATACTCCATGCATGTATCAAACATCCGATGGGACAACAACTAAAATTTAGGAGAAGGATCAAACACCCACTTAGCTAGCAACCAGAAGATGTCGTGTACGCAACATCCGTTACTCTTGATCTTGTCTCAACATACATACATACATACATACATACACCGTACATAAGTCAAAGAATAAGGACTTGTTTAGTTCCAGGGTGTAAAGTTTTGGGATGTCATATGAGGATGTCGCATGGGGTGTTTAGATACTAATAAAAAACAAATTACAGAATCCGTCAGTAAACCACGAGATGAATTTATTAAGCCTAATCAGTACATCATTAGCACATGCATTACCGTAACACTTTATTATCAAATCATGGACTAATTAGGTTTAAAAGATTCGTCTCGCAAAGTAGTCACAATCTGTGTAATTAGTTATTTTTTTAGTTTATATTTAATACTCCATGCATGTGTCTAAACACTCGATGGGATAAGGTGTAAATTTTTAGGGAAGAACTAGACAAGGTCTAAGCACACTGTACTTGCAACTACAGTACTACTTATGTATATATATTGTCCCGTTGCTTACTTTTACGTTTGTCCTTTCTCTTGTAAGGCATTTGCTTGTGAATGCTAACTTGTCTCTCGCGCTTGACTATGACCATATAAATACTTTTACTTTTACGTTTTGGTGTACCATCTTTGCCTCTTCCTCTACCTCCTTTGAGTGAAATTTTTGAAGGCTTTTACATGTATGTTATTAAAAAAGTTTATAATTGCGTATAAGTCATTAAAAAAGTTGAACGCACACGAGTGCTGTCGTTCTGAACTCCTTTGCTCTCCAAGCCATTCCGTCGGTGTTCTGTTCATTTTTCACCGTTACATGTGGGCCCGGTCAATGTAAACGTACAAAATACCCTTCTCTCGTCCTATCCTCTTGCTTCTTTAGTCCACACCGCTCGCGTTCGCGTCCGAGGCCGGTAGAGCTCGCACCCGTGCCTGCAAGAGCTCACGCTTTCGCAGCCTCAAGCGTCTGTCTCTGGAGCCCGTCAAGCCAGCGCTCGCGTTCTGGCAGAGAAGCCGCTCGGTGGAGCTCGTGCTCAAGCTCGCGTCCTCGCTTCCGGCGGAGTCAAGGCCGAGCTCATGGCCGCCATCCCCTCCGTCAGCAGTGGCGGCGTCCACACCCGGCCTCGCGCCGCGCGCCGCTTATCCTCCGGCAATGGCTGCGGCGTCGCCCACGCCCGCTCGCGGCGCGGCCGCCATCCCCTCCGGCAACGCTGGCCTCGCCCACGCCGGCTTCACTCGCGCCACGGCCGGCAGAGTTTCGCTGGCGGAGTCGCGCCGCGCTTCGCGTCCGGCCGCCGAAGCTCGCGCCCGCCATCCCATCCATCAGCGCTCGTGCTCGTGGCCGTCGCCGCCGTGTTCGGGGGGCAGCCGTGCGGGGGGCAGCTCCACTCCAACCATAGCGCCACCTCATCCAGGCTAACGCGCGCGAGCTCACGGCCACGGTGATCGCCGAGCGCTGCTGCCCGCTTTGCTGGCCGCTTAGCCTAGCCCCGGCCAGCAATGAAGGCGGGCGTGGGGGAGCTCGCCCGCCGCCGCAGGAGAGCGTCTTGGCGAAGCTCGGCCAAGCTAGCCGCCCATGGGCGATGCCGGGCGAAGCTCCGCTGGCCCGCACGCTCGAGAAGAGAGATCGAGTTTGAGAGAGAGGATAGGGATGAGAGGGGTATTATGGACGTTTTGACTGACCTGACCCACTCGTCGGGACTCCCAAACGGTGAAAAACGAACAGAACATCGATGGAATGACTTGGAGAGCAAAGAAGTTCAGAATGATTACACTCGTGTGCGGTCAACTTTTTTAATAACTTATACGTAATTACAAACTTTTTTAATGGATACCTGTAAAAGCCTCACACTTTTGCTCTGCCACAACTCTCTCCTACAAAACAGAAAGAAAAATCTTCCAAGGAGATTCAGAAACAAAACCAACATGTGCAGATTGGATAATGGGAGCCAGAAACACAAGCTGAGAATACAGAAGTTCTTACCACCAAGATTGGGATTGATACGTGTGATTCTGATGAGGCAAAGGACTCGCGAGGGCTTTTTGTGGGGGGAGGCAGTTCGAGCTCGTCCCCGACGCGGACTCTGCTTCCATTTCGCTGTGACAGGGGAAGGGGAGCGTGGTGACGGAGCTTCACACAGACTCCGCGGGAGGCAGGAGCTCGAGGTGGTGCCGCTCAAGGGCGCCATGACCAACGAGGTGTACCAGGTGTGGTGGGCCACCGGCGGCGCCAAGGCCGGTGGAGCGGCTTGCCAGCGCTAGGGGGGAGGGATGAGCAGACGGTTCTGGCAGGCGCAGTGGGCCACCGAAGTTGCCGAGGCGGGCGTAGGAGGCTCGCCGGCGCCGGGGAACAGGGACGCGCGGACGGAGACGACGGGACGGAAGCGTTGCGGCGGCGGCGTCGGGAGATGTTTTTTGTTTTTAACAGGGCGACGTCCGACGTGTGGTGCGCTACTCGTCAGCGAGTGGGCTGGACGCGAGCGAGTGGACCGGGACGGTTGGGCTGAATTAAATGGGTTGGACGAAAAAAAAAGTCAAAAATTTTGCCTTTTTATTATTAGGGATAGATTTGACATCCCACCCGCCAACTAATAAAACTACATCATCGACATAAATACGCGGACTGACGTGGAGCTCTCAACAGACCATCCTGCTATATGCTTTTTTTCTCGATCAGGCGTTATGCCTGTATATTTCATTAAACAGGAAGCAATTGTTGTTGTCGTGTGCCCTGCTAGCGAGATTCAAGCAGGCGCAGCCCGGCACGAAATACATGAGAGCTTAAAAGACTATACTGCGTGCGACCATCGAGCCATCGGAACTGTGACACCTCAGGTGTTAATTTCAAGTTAAACAGTGAATTAAATCTAATCTAAACAAGTCAAAGGATAATTGTGAGCTTTAGTTTAACACCTGACAAGTGGTGACAGAGGTGGAGTCAAATTCTTTCAAATATGACCTAACTTAAACTTTTCAAAGGTAAAGACAAAACTCTTTTGTTCAAAAGTAAATTTTATTTCAAAATGTGCATGAGTAGTTTTAATCATGTGTTTTCATGTGCATCACCTAATCATGAACATATTCTGGTCACATGAAAAGTTGCATGTTGTTTTGGATCAAAAAGTTATAAGAAATGATAATTTCCACTTTGCTTAAAAACACTTTTGTTAATTGAGTAGAAACATGTGATGTTAACTAAACCTTGCATTTATGTTTAAACAACTTTAGTTGAACTCTTGAACAAAAATTAGTTAGGGTTTAAATTTGAAAATGTGAAGAAAGTGCTTAAAAAATATCCAAAACCCTAGCTTAAGCCTTTCTCATGACCCCTTTTTGCTTAATTTGTAACTTTGCTTTTTATTCAAAATATGAAAGAATTGTCTAAATAAAAGTTGTAGAGTAGGTCATGTTCTTGAAACTTTGTTTCTGCATCATCCTCTGTTTCAGCTTTTAAGTGTTTCAAACAGTGGCTTCAATTTTGAGTTCAGTGCTATGTTTTCCTCACTTGGCATTTTGGCTAAGTTCTGAAAAACAGTAATTACGTTCAATCTTTGGTGATTTATTAAAACAATTTTCATAAATAAAATTTGTGCAACTTTATTTCTATAATTTGTTATGAAGTTTGTACTTCGATACTATGCTAGTGGTTGGATTGTTTGATCAATGTTTAGCCACTAATTAATTACTCAAAGTTGCTTGATCAAAACTGTTTTTGGCCTGTCAAGATCTGTCTAAGTCCTTGATTTGCAGTTTGCATGATTCCATGTGTTGAGTGTTTGTGGTTTGCAAAATAGTGTAGCAACTGCTCTCAAAACCTTAATAAGAGTTGTAGTCCAGCAACCTTTGTTTAAGGATCAAGAACTAGTTTGGCCTCTAACCTAGGAAAATAGAGACCCTAATATCGAACCCAGTACTCTTTTAAAGTTCAAATTTTGGCTAAGTATTGAAACTGAATTTTTCAGTTGCCAGTTTTCATGTAGCCATATTTGGGATTTTATATTTTTCAAACTAGCTCGTTTCTGACCAAACTCCTTTAAGAAAAGTTGTATTACTTATGTATCTCTACAATAAGGAGCAATTGGTTTGGGTTTTGGATAACCGGATTGGGAGAAAAATAAAGGAGAAGAATGCCGGTCAGGCATGAACAGTAACCCAGAGCAGCAGCTTCTCATGCTGCTCACCGCCGTGTGCCGTTTGGCCACCTTCCCCGCGCTTCTCGCGCCCGGGCACGTAGTCGCCCACGTGGCCAAGCTCATGCGACGCTGGCGAAGCCAAGAAGTATCGCACGCGCCCTTTTTTAAATCATCAAATGCCGGCCATCGTCTCCTTTTTCTTTTTCTGCGCCGTCGCAGAGCAGCAACACTCGCCGGCCAATTTCGTCGCCGTCGAGCCGCCCCCGTCCAATTCCTCTCACTTCTAGTGTCGCCTCATCCTTGCGCTCCGTTTGCACCCGGTTGCGACATCTCTACCGGCCTGAGTCGTCCGTGCGCCGGAGTTCCACCACGGCCGCCCGCCATCGCCGCCGCGAGCTCCTCTGCCATGGCCTCGCCACTCCTGTGAGCCGTTGGACCTCCCGTTTGTTGCGCTAGCTTATACTTGATTCTGTGGTTATGATCGGATCCTTATTTTGGTCGCTATCGCACAGGACGCGTCGTCGCCGCCGGTTCACATCACCGTGCCTGCCATCGTTGTCGGCAGCACCCTTCCGAGCCTCCTCCATCTCGACCGTGCAATCAATCAAGTCTCGGTGAGCCCCTTGAACATCACCTAACCCTGTACTAGCCGCAGGACGCGCTGTAGTGGCCGCTCCGCCGTCGTACCGCCATGCTGCGCGCCGCCGAGCCGCCATGGCCGTGAGCGTGTTTGCTCCACACCCTAACCTGCTCAACCATCACCCTAGATCGATGCGCTGGTTGACCACGAGCACGTAGGTGTCGGCCTCGTCGCTGACAACCTTGCCGCCGACGAGCTAGGGCCGGTTCCCCGCCGGTGCTCTGCTCTGTGATGAGCAAAGGACCGGAAAAATTAAATAGAGAGAAGGGTGGGGTGTTCAGTGAGAAGGAACAGAGGGAAACAAATAGTTGTTTGAGGTTAATTGTGATTTTGTAAAAAATACTAGGGACTTGTTGCAAAATTGCCAGGCCGCGCCTGCTCACGCCATTGGGCCGAGCTGGGCCACTTTGGGCCCGAAGCCCTTTTTTCCTTTTTTAGTGTTTTATTAATTCTTATAAATGTACTGATTTTTGTAAAATGCATAACTAAATGTAGAAAAATAATAAAAATGTGAAACTTGTTTTGTTGGCTTTGTAATAATGTTCTCTATGTGATACAAGTAATTTTTGCCATAAAACAGTATTTTTTATGTGCTCGAAAATGCAATAATTAATCTAATTGAGTTTTGTTGCATAATTAGTGTAGTAAAAATATAAGCCCAAAAATAATGAAACTTTTTGTGAATATCAATTATGTTAGTTTATGCCTCTACAAAGAGTTCATGCTGATTTTGATCAAGTTAACTTGTTCAATTAAGTTAAGCATGCTTTATGCCTTTTATATGATAATAAGTACTTAGATGTTTAATAGGTGTTTTAGATAGTTTCTATGAGTTCTTTGAAACGCCTATGAGATCTTGTTGATATGCTAAACATATTTGAAACTAGTATGCTTTATGTGAATTAGAATCTTTGCCTTCTCTACCGGAAAAGAGATACATACCTACTCGGTAAAAAGAATTAAAATTTGATTACCATCTTGTCATTTCTATGATGTATGTTTAGTAGTAGAACCTTGATCAAGATTGACATGGCTAAATTTAGTGTTACCCACATCAACCCTAGTGCTTTTGTTTGATACTAAACTTAATTAGTTCTCGATAGATAAATGTTACGGTGTTGTCTTATTGCTATCTTAGCATGACAAATTCGTGTGATGTTTAGTTGGCACTTTATTCATCCATGTGCCTAGGTCAATTTTGTTACGACCTTATACTTGTCCTTGTTTGCAATCGTGTGATGTTTTGGTTTTGCTCTTTCTCATATGCATGCATTGCATCTTTGCATATATTATATAGGTACGCTAGATGTATGATGAAAGGGTGAAGAACATGGTGTTGAAACCAACCAAAAGATGATGTTGGTGAACGGATCCAAAAGATGAGAGGACCTTGGGAATACATGTCGGGCAAGAGATGCTCGCCAAGTGAATATCATTTAACAAACACTGACCTAGTGTTGAACCACAAGCAAGCCCCGGAGCATTCTAAGCCTTCTACCTCTTTTTTAAAATACACTTGAGTTTATATTTTGTATTATGCATTAAATATAGGAGCTGAATTGAAATCGTTGCTACATGTCTTACCTTGTCTACAATATATATACCTGTATCCTTACTAGTATGTATAGGTCGCTCTATGCTTAGCTATGCTTAGACCGGTAGAAGTCGGGTGATTCCTGTTGCGCGAGACATAGGTGGCTACTCTGACACGGTTGGCTATATTTGCTATCGTAGAAAAAAAACCAGGTGATAATGGATAACTGGAGACTGGACGGGATCCGGTGCTATTATGGTTGTTGTTGATGCCGGCTAGGCATGTATTCTTTGATACCGTCTGTGTTGTTTAAGGACCACTTCGTTGTCGAACCTTGGTTGAGATTGAAGGTACCAAACACATAACAGGGCCTAAGTTATAGTTGACCGTGAAGCCGATTAGCTCATTCGGGCTGTGAGTATATTGGACCGTTAGCATTGCTGGGGGAGAGCCTGAAGGAAGGGGACTGTTCCAAGACCATGTTTGCTACGGGCTTCGGGCAATTCATGTGAGGATGCAGGATCATGAGTTTTACGAAATGGTCCAGACTTACCGCCGAATGGAGTGAACGGTGACCCATGTGAGCTAATGTGGGCTCGTACGGGTGTGTGTTTAGGATTGCCCAGCTGGATGTAATCGATTTGAATCGTTGTCTCTCTTGATTAGTGAGAAACTTTGTCATTGTCTGGTAGTCGTAGTAACTGATGAAACATGATGGTTCTGTTGATCATGATAATTGAATATGGTTACTACTATGATATTTATTAATCAAATGATTGTTACAGGATAGATGCAAACTTAGCTATAATTGACTTCACTGAACTTGATGCTAAAAATTTAAAAGTAAGGACTTACATAGTAAGCTCTTTTGTAAAAGATTATGCTATCCAACTAGCTCCACCAAATAAACCATGCATATTCTTGGAGTCTTTATTTTTCTCCTATTGGGTAAGTC